GAGAGGGTGTCAAAAGTGGCACATTTAGGGTGACCCTTTCTCTGTGCCACTGCCACCTGTGTGAGCAGCTGGAACCCTTCACCCCATCTGAGAAGCTGCTTTTACACACAGATTGCTGCTCAGCGCTTGGCTGCTGCATGAAAAAACCCCAAAAGCACCACATTGCCTCACTTGTGCTTTCACTGAGCTGTGAGAACCAGGGGTTCATTTTGAACTAAATTTCTCCTCCTGGAAATCCCCATCCTTCCTCCTGGAAACCCAAACCACACGTTTCCCTCACTCACTATTTCTCAAACAGGTTTCAAAACCCTGCCTGAAGCATAATTTTACAGTAATGAGAATAGAATATGAAGCAAAATATATAAAGTCAAAACCCATATCCTTTTCTGATCTCTGGCATCCTCATACAGTAAGAGTTGAACTTCAGTGGTCATATTGATCCTTGGAGTGGCTACCTAGAACAGAGGCTAGACAGAGTTAAGATAATAAAGTGGGTATTTATTAAAATTAATAGATACACCTTGGGCAGTCAAAAGCTTCCCAGAGGCTACACCCAAATTGGAAGATGATCACAAGTTTTTCAGACAGATATAAGTTTGGTCCATTTGCATATCAGGGGTTAATTCTCCAATTACAGCTTCAGGTAATGAAGTCATTGACCCTCAGTTTGCTCCTCCTCAACTCACTTTTGTTTATACTTTTCAGGGCCTGAGGCTGTAGGGTGTCCTTGGGTTCCAGGCCCAGAGGAATTGTTTTGTCTGACCAAAGTGTGTCAGCGTCAAGTGTTAACTACCAAAGTAGTTATATGAAGTTTAGAGTTATGCACTAACGCAGAGCAGGATTTGAAACATATAAATGCTAAAATCTTTATCTCTAAGGCATCATTCGTGAATCCCTCAGAACTCAGGATGATTTTATGGATTATTCCTCTGTTCCCTTCCAGGTTTACCAGGCAGACACCGGTCATTTCTTGTGCAAAGACAAATACTACGGGAGGAGACTCTCTGTGGAGGGATTCCGGCAGACGCTGCGGCAGTTCCTGTGCAACGGGAACCAGCTGAGGACCGACCTGCTGGAGCCCATCATCCTGCGCCTCAAGGCTCTGCTGGCGGTGATCAGGAAGCAAAGCTCCTACAGGTTCTACTCCAGCTCCCTCCTCATCATTTACGACGGGCAGGAGCACAAGGAGAGCGCGGATCAACACCTCTCCTTCCCAAAAACTCAGGGCACGAACCCCTCCAGGGTGGATGTGAGGATGATAGACTTTGCCCACACCACCTTCAAAGGCTCCAAAAGCAACCCCAACCCCACCCCGCACGATGGGCCGGACCACGGCTACATTTTTGGTTTGGAGAACCTCATCAAAATCCTTCAGAGCCTGTTGGAAGGGAAGTGAGAATTTCTGTGAAACGGCCTGGATTTCCTAATGACTGATAGCCCTGAAAATCCTGCCTGGGATCGGCTGTGTGGGACCCTCCGGCCGCTGGATGTGGCACGGAAAAATCGGGAAGTGCTGAAAACTCTCCGTGTGTTGTCACTGAACTGAAGCGTGGAAAGCAGAGAGCTGGAAGAATCTGCTCTCTCTGCCATCCAGCAGAAGATTTATTTTCCTTTCTGGTTTTACTGCTGTCCTTGATTTATTTGTGAGCCAAAGAAAGCATTGCTTGGGAAGAGTCTTAATGATAAACCAGGAGATGCTCGCCCCGCAGCCGAGCGGGAGGAGGGGGTTTGAGGCAGGAATGAACAGATGGAGTTTCCCTTTGGAGCTTCCCTTCCTGCTCTGCTCAGGTGGGAGGGAAAAACACCCTCCAACATTCCCAGTGCCCTGGTCAGGATTCTCTGTGCACGTGTTCAGAGCCGCAACTCACCGAGCTTTAACATCCCTGTGGGGTTATAACAGGGAATTTTCCACGGGTTTTCTAGGAGAGAGGCTCCACTGGGCTGGAAGTGTGGGAATGCGATGACTCTGTCAGGTATCAGCCACAAAAAGCATTCACATCAAGGGATTTTTGCTTAAAAAAAAAAAAAAAAAAACAAGAGAAAAAGAAAAAACAATGTGAGATTGAGTCAGGGACTGGACGTCAAAGGTCACCCAGAAATTCTTTGATACAAATACTGTGTGTGTGCGCGTGCGTGCGCGTGTGTGTTTGAAGGAGACAGTAACAAAAGACTCTAAAAAATAATGTTTACAGCTTTTGTGGACAGATTTTATTATTATGATGGAACAAACACAATTCCTTCCTGCATGGTGTGGGAAATCTGAAGGAGAAGTCCTTGCACAAGGAATAGAGCTACAGAACTCCACTACTGGGGAGAGGGGATATAAATAAAATTGTGAAAGTAACTCCCACCCTCGTCCATCTCTTTTTCCTTCCCACAGCATCCTTGAGGTGCATTATCCTTTGTTTAAGCCCATCATTTTTTAAGAGAGCCGTTATTGCCGTGGGTTTAAACACCAGATCCCGAGGGAGACACTTCATTTGGATTTACAGCAGAAAGCTGGGGAGCTGCTGCAATTTATAGCTGGAAAATTTCAGACATCTGGCCCAGTTGTGTGTTTGGCTTGGCCCCGAGTCCACCTGGGAAGACTCTTGTTCACAGTGCTGGGTTATTGCTTGACCACAAACTATAAAAAAAAAGCCACAAACACCCAATTTTAGTAGGGGTTGAGGTGCAGATTGTCCTGGCTCACACCCGAAGTCTGTGATAAGACTTTGTGGATGAGTTTTACAGAGCCACCTGAGCATTCTCAGGGTGCACAACAGGACACGGGTGGGACGAGGGATGGATGAGAAGAGTCTGAGTGTGACACCAACGCCAGAGCGCCTTGTTGGGCAACCCCTCGCTCCTCATTGCTGCATAAAAAACAACTTTTGGCTGAATAAAATTAGAAAAATCTCCATGTGCCCCCCTTTTCACCCCTCATACACCTGCACGGTGTGGCTGCCCCATCCCTGGCAGTGTCCTAGGGCAGGTTGGACAGGGCTTGGAGCAACCTGGGATAGTGGGAGGTGTCCTTGCCATGGCAGGGCGTGGGATGAGATGGGATTTAACTAAAACCTTCAACTAAAACCATCATAAATCCTGTGAGGAGTGGCTGGGGGAGCTGGGAAGGGTCTGGAGCACCAGGAGAGGCTGAAAGAGATGGGAAGGGTCTGGAGCACCGGGAGAAGCGGAGGGAACCAGGAAGGGTCTGGAGCACCTGGAAAGGATGAGGGGGCTGGGAAGGGTCTGGAACACCAGGAAAAGCTGAAGGAGCCAGGAAGGGTCTGGAGCAGCAGGAAAAGCTGAAAGAAATGGGAAAGGTCTGGAGCCCCAGAAGAGGCTGAAGGATCCAGGAAGGGTCTGGAGAAGCAGGAGAGGCTGAAGAAGCTGGGAAAGGTCTGGAGTACCAGGAGAGGCTGAGGGAGCCGGGAAAGGGGCTCAGCCTGGAGAAAAGGGGGATCAGGAGGGATCTTCTGGCTCTGCACAACTCCCTGACAATAGGGAACAGCCGGAGGGGGTCATGCTCTGCTCCCAAGGGCCACAAGGGAAAACGCCCTCAAGCAGGGGAAGTTCAGGTTGGAATTTCCTCACGGAAAGGGCGGTCAGGCTTTGGAAGGGGCTGCGCGGGGCAGTGTTGGAGTCCCCATAGCTGGAGGTGCAGCACTGGGCGCTCAGAGCTGCCCTCAGGGCGGACACGGAGCGCGGTCCGGCCCCGCCGCCCCTGAGGGGCTTTTCCCCCTCACGCGTTCCCGCCCAGCCGCGCCCGCACGTGACCCGGTGGCGTCCCACGTGACCCGGCGCCATGGCCGCCAGCCGCTACCGCCGCTTCCTGCGGCTCTGCGAGGAGTGGCCGGTGGAGGAGACCAAGCAGCAGCGGGACCTGGGCTCGTTCCTGCGCCAGCGGGTGGCACAGGCCTTCCGCGAGGGCGAGAACACGCCGGTGAGGGGCGGCAGGGCGGCAACGCCGCGGCGCCCGCCTGGGAGGGCGCGGGGAGCGGCGCGGCGGTGGTTCTGAGGGAGCTCTGAGGGAGCTCTGAGGGGGATGAGGAGCTCTGAGGGGGCTCTGAGGGAGCTCTGAGGGGGATAAGGAGCTCTGAGGGAGATAAGGAGCTCTGAGGGGGCTCTGGGGGGGATGAGGGGCTCTGAGGGGACTCTTGAGAGGCTCTGAGCGGGCTCTGATGGAGTTCTGAGGGGGCTCTGAGGGAGCTCTGAGGGAGCTCTGAGGGGGATGAGGAGCTCTGAGGGAGCTCTGAGCGGGCTCTGATGCAGTTCTGAGGGGGCTCTGAGGGGGATGAGGAGCTCTGAGGGAGCTCTGAGGGGGATGAGGAACTCTGAGGGAGCTCTGAGGGGGATGAGGAGCTCTGAGGGGGCTCTGAGGGAGCTCTGAGGGGGATGAGGAGCTCTGAGGGGGCTCTGAGGGGGATGAGGAGCTCTGAGGGGGCTCTGAGGGGGCTATGAGGGAGCTCTGAGGGGGATGAGGAGCTCTGAGGGGGCTCTGAGGAGCTCTGAGCGGGCTCTGAGGGGGCTCTGAGGGAGCTGTGAGGGGTCTCTGAGGGGGATGAGGGGCTCTGAGGGGACTCTGAGGGGGATGAGGAGCTCTGATGGAGTTCTGAGGGGGCTCTGAGGGGGATGAGGAGCTCTGAGGGAGCTTTGAGCGGGCTCTGAGGGAGCTGTGAGGGGGCTCTGAGGGGCTGGGGCAGAGCATGGGGCTCGGGGCTCTCTGGTGCTTCAAAGGCATCCTGAGCCCCAGAGGTGATGGAGTCCTGCTGCTCCCGGGCAGGGCAGGAGTGTGAGCACTCAGCAGCCTTTGGAGAGCACATCCCGGGAAATACCGGCCACAGGCTTGTGCTTCCATGGGGCAAAGTGTACCTGGGACACACAATTGGTACCCAGGACAGCAGGTTTGTATCCAGGACCACCTGGTTTGTACCCTTGACAGTGGGTTAGTGACCAGGATAACAGGTTTGTACCCAGAATAAATGGTTTATGCCCAGGACACCTGGTTGGTGCCCAGGACAATTTGCACCCAGGACACCTGGTTGGTCCCCTGGACAAATGGACACTGGATTTTGTACCCAGGATAAATGATTTGTGCCCAGGACACTGGGTTTTGTACCCAGGATAAATGGTTTGTGCCCAGGACACCTGGTTGGTGCCCAGGACAATTTGTGACCAGGACACCTGGTTGGTGCCCAGGACAATTTGTGACCAGGACACCTGGTTGATTCCCTGGACAAATGGTTTCTACTCAGCAGGCCTGGTTGGACCCAGGACAGCTGTTTTATCCTCAGGATAACTGCTCTATACCCAGTTCTTGCACCATTTACGCCGTGTTCTTTGGTGAACCCTGTTCCTGTGCTGATGGGAGCAGGGTGCAGGGCTTTGGGAATGTGTCAGCTGTGCTGGAATCCAGTTAATTCCTGAGATCTCCTTACCCTGAGGGTGGGATGATGGGATGCTGCAGCACTGCCTGACACTGATGGAATGCAGCGGTTGTACAATTGAATTCCGCCTCCAGCTGTAATTCTGTTGGAGTTTAGGCTTTGCTGCTGAAATAAATTAGGGAATCCGATGCCTGACTTGGCTGCAGACCTTCCCAGGCATGGAGGTGTTGCTGCAGAATGCAAATGTGCCCTTTCTTAGCATAAAAACATTGTTCCAGAGATGCATTTTCAACCTCAAGGGGCCATTAGAGGCTCCTAATCCTGTACTGGTGACCAGAATAGTCTGCAGCCCACATTTTGGGAAGAGTTTTATTGCTTTTCCATATGCTCAGGACAGCTTAATGTGTTGCACCAGTTGGCTCCAAGATCCCAAAGCTGCCACTGATCCTGGAAATCTGAATTGATGCCTGCAGCAGTGGTAGCAATTTGTGTGTAGAGAGGTTGAATGTGCTGGCAGGAGGAGCTTCTAAGAGGGGAACTAGAGCCACAGGGCTTCTTTAGCCATCTAAAGGGATGAGATTTGCTGGATTTCCAGGGGAGGGATGGTGTTTGTGCCACCTTTTAATGGCTGGATCTGCTGGAGCCTTGGCAGGGCCTGTTTAGGCTGCAGGACAGAGGTGGGGATCACCTGCAGGGGGATGTGGCTGTCCCTGTGTCCTCTCTCCTGCAGAGACCTTTTCCTCACTTTTCCTATTTCATCCTGACACCTTTCTCTTGGTGTTATTTTTACTCTTGACCTGTTTTAACCATTCGTGGACCAACACTGAGTTCTGGGGTGAGCTGGTCTCATTGTACCACAAAAAAAATAAAAAAACAAACTGGGAAAACATTGTAGTCTGGAAAAGCAGCTGAGCAGGGGCTGTGCCAGGCAGACACCAGGGTGAGCCAGATCTTCCAGCTGAAAGAGAAATCCAGTTACCCCTCAAGCTGTTCCTTGTCATTAGTGCTGATTTCCCTAATCAATTACAGGCTATTTTTAGCCCCCTGCAGGGAGTCCTGGCACCTTGTCCTGGGTGATTCCCTACCACAAGGCAGGTGACAGAAGCAGCCTCGCAGCAGGAAGGGCCACAGATTTCACAGCACCAGCCAATAACGTTCTCTGAGGCTGAGAATTCACTGCCAGATCTTGCTGATGCAGAGTTTCAGATCCAGTCTGGAAATCCCAGGTGTGCTATTCCTGCAGGCTGAGCTGGTGGGAGATGGAGGGGGAAAAGCTGGAGCAGGACGGCAGATGGACAGTATCCAGCAGTGCACTGGGAGTTCTGAGCTGCTCCTTGGTGGCCATTGTCCCTTGGAGCCAGGAGGGTTTTTGCTGTGGAGGTGTAAAACCAGATTTGTGTGACACTTGTGTCCCCTGCAGATCTCTGACCCCGAGGCCTGTGACCAAATGTACGAGAGCTTAGTCAGGATCCACACCAACTTCTACAAAAACAAGGTGAGAGCTGTGGCACTGGCCACTGCCCCTCTCTTTGGAGGGGAGCCACCACCTGCTGCAGGATTCCTGGGAATGGCAGAATTCCTGGAATGCCTGAGGGACAGCTGAGGGGTGGATGCAGCCGAGCCTGTGCTCACCCAGGGCAGCTGCTGGGTGAACAGGGCAGGCCTGGTTCTTGGTGTGGGTGAAACGCTCTCAGACTGTGCCAGCTGGTGACACTTGCACCTTTTTCATGCACTACAAGTGACTTCTTTGTCTCTCTCCCTCCTTTTGCTGCTCTCCTGGAAGTACCCACGCCTGAAGGACACCACCTTCACCGGGGTGACAGTGGAGAACTGCAGGACGATCCTGGCCACAGGTACTGCTGCTGGGCTTGCTCTGAGAGGGCAGGGCAGGGGAAAGGGACATTTTGCATCCCTCCTCAGCCCCTGGCACTGGAGGGTACCAAGGGGCTGCCTGCAATTCTGTGGAGGAGTTGGATGAGGAGTAAGTTCAGGAATAATTCAGTTGAGGAGTAACTCATTATTTTGGGGTGAAGAATCGATTGGATATTGCACTGTCAGGAACTGCAGAGGGTTTGCAAAGGCTCTGTGGGGTCAGCCAGCAGGATCTGTGTGGAAGGAACACGTTTGCTACGTCAGCCCAGCACTGAGCTCAGCTTCTCTTTCACCATCTTCCAATTCCCTTCATATTCCTCCTGTGCCAGACCTCGGGAAGGAGCGGGTGCCCCACGCAGAAATGCTCTCACCACATCCCTTATGAGGGGCAGAGCAGTTTTGTTCTGCTCCAGTTCCTAACTTTGATTGCAGCGTGTGGAAACTGAGCGTCAGTAGTTAGTGATAAGAGACTCCCTGCATTGATTGGAAGGGAAACCAACCTCGCCTCAGGCCCAGAATGAAAATTCATTAAGAAGAGAAGTCAGGAAAGGAAATTAGATGGAAGGCAGAGCTGTTTTAAGAGGGTTTCATTCCTCTGCTTTCCTGCTTATCTTCCTCTGGCCCCATCTCTGTCATTTCTCCTTTTGCAGACATTCTGAAACAGATGGAAGACAGGAAAAAAGGGACGTGGAAAAGACTGCGGGAAAAGTTCTCTGCCAAGAATCCTGAGGAGGACTTGAAGTGAGGGCCCAGCTCTCAGCTTCTCACTGTACATATCCCTGAAGCTCTGTGCGTTGCCATGATGAATAAAACCACTTATTCCTCTTAGCAACAGCATTTTTGTTCAGCCCTACCCTGTTCTTCATATTTAGTGCCTCCTTTTCTTTTCTGCTGAGAATCTGGGGCAGAACTTAAAACATCCATGCTGGAGCAATGTAGGGAAGGGAACTTTGTGGTGTCAGACCTGGCCCTTTGTATCTCAAAAAATGGAACAGGCAGGAGCGACCCAGAGGGAGGAGGTGCAGCTTTGAATGTTCTTGTGAAGGGAACAGAGAGGATGTGAAAACCTCGCTGTGCTTGTGTTTGTGTGTTAGCCCAGGGACCAGGGCAGCGCAGGGAGGGAGAACTTTAATCACCACATTTATTTTCCTACGGAGGAGACAGGGAGGACAGAGGGTGACTTTGCCATGGTGACAGTGGAGCACTGCACGAGTTTAATTGAGATTTTAATCAGCTGCTGCAGAGCTGCTGCTGGAGGAGGCAGCTCAGTGCAGATTCCCCCCAGCCTGAGGAGAGGGATGTGTGGGTTAGTGCAGAGCTGAGGGTGAAGGCAGCATTAAATGACGTGCTGCTAGATGGAGCCATAAACACATTTCAAGTGTTCTGCAACTTCCCTGTTATGGGCTTTTTTATTCCTTTTTAGAGCTTTACTGCTTTCATCAGTGTCTGTTCTTGGGCTTGGAGCTGGGGCTGGCTTGGGAAGGATGAGTGTCTGGAGCAGAGCTGTGCCAGAGCTCCACAGCACCAACAGCTGCTCCTTTTTATGGGTTTCAGCAGTGATTTCCTGGCAGGCAGTGAAAGAATTTGAAAGTGCAGCAGGCTCTGGTCCAGAGCTCCAGGAACCAAGGCTGGTGCTCGTGGTGGCTCTTCATGGCAGCGTTTGGCAGGGGGTGTGCAACACCTGGAGCTGGGAGCAGCGGGCTGGGGAGCACCTTGGGTGCCAGCCCTGCTTGGGTTCTGTTTGACAGCCCCATCACACACCAGAGGGCACAGGGAGGGGACTTTACCACCTTGAAGTTTTTGTTATAACATGATTCTGTATTTAATTTAGTTAAGGCAATTTACACTTCAGTTCTTAAGTAACAACGGTAACAACTAAAAAAACAAAACAAAACAAAAAGGTAGAACATGACACCAGAGATGAAACTAAAACACAGGACACCCCTTCACAGTGAACTCCTGTAAACCTGCAGGTTCCTACTACTGCTGCCCAAAGATCCTTGGTCCACAGAAGGCAAAAGACCTTTTAGTTCCCACTAGGACAAGCTCAGCTCCTCATTTGGCAACTTAATTAAATTAAATCCACCTCCTTGAGTTCAGCTGCTCTTTACTGCACCACAGGATGAAGAGAATGCTGTAAATGGAGAGAGGTCAGCGTGGAGCAGGCACAGCTGATAACGAGGGCTGCTTGGCAAATACCCACAGGGACAAGTGGCACTCGGAATAAGTTAAATAGTGCGGCCCTACAGCTACTGACCCCACAGCCGAGGGGCTGGAGCACATGGAGATAAAGATACAACCCTCCACAGTTGCAAAATAAAAGAGTTATTGCAGTGAGGAATGAAAGTCCTGTATGGTTTATCTTCCTACGAGGGTGTTGGAAAACACCTGGGCCCAGGTGTGGGGTGGGCTCCGGCCCGTCCCTGCTCCTGGCATGGCTTACAAGCGCTCTAAGGGAGATGCTGCCCGGGAAGCCCTTTCCATGTGGTCCATTGTCCCCAGGCAGTGACAGCCCACGCCTGGAGCCCAGGGAGGAGCAGCCTCCTCAGCTGACGCAGGTGCAGTCCCTCGGTGGCTGGAGCTGTGTCTCAGTGGTTCATGGTGTTCTGGACATCCACAAACCCCATCCTCTGCCTGCGCTTCCGCTGCTCCGTCATCTGCAATTCCAACAAGGATGTGCTGAGGTAATTCCGGGCCCTCCTGCTCTTGGATGTGCTTCCCAAGTGTCTGACTCTGCTGCTTTGAGCCTCTGCCAGCAAACTCTGAGCTGGTGAGGCACTTCCCAAACCCACGTGTCCCAAGTGTCCCCAGTTCCCCCAACAAAGAGCTGCAGGAGCCCTGTGCTTATCATTGTGCTGCCTTGGGCAGGACCTGCCTCCCGCTCCCTGCCCTCAGTGGCTGTTTTGGGAAGCACAGAGGGTTCCTACGGGGGATTTCCCATTTCCCATACCTGTTCCTTCAGCTCGTTCAGCTGGGAGGTGAGGTGGGACACGAGCTTCATGGTGGTGTTGAGTTTGT